ATGCTCAATATCTTCTCTGATCTGGACTGGATGATGTGCTAGGAGCGAAAAGATGCCACATTGTTTGAGGGAAATTAAAATGATTAATCCACAGAGGGCTGAATTCAAAGACAGAGAAAAATACAGCAGGCTGGGCTATTTAGCCAAGAAAATACAGCAGGCTGGGCTATTTGGCTATTTAGCCAAAATTTCATTGCAGTAACTTCAAATGATGGTCAGTAGTTTGTAAGGCACCAGAGACATTTGTATGTGTATGTATTAGAATAAGTCTTTTAAAGACTGATGCGTTGCATATATGACGACTCTTGTTACTTTTGAGATGAAAAGTTTGACTCATTCATCGCATCGTTATCAGAAGCAGTACAGTGAGGGAAAAGAGACATTTAAAAAAATAGAGAACGTTTTAGTATGTGTCATATGATTGAATGAAGCAGGACAGTGTGATTAACCACTGGGTCGCTCATTCATCTTTACTTTGTTGTCTTCTTTCTTGCTCCTAGTGTCCCTCTCTGAGATAAGCTTCCTGGCGATCATAGTTGGAGGTGCTTGTGGCGTAATCCTGCTCATTCTCACTATCATTATGGCAGTGAAGTTCTACAAGAAAAAGAGAAGGGAAGATGACTTTGAGCTGCACGAGCACGATTTCAAAGACCCAACTGTGTGGTGAGGGCCAGAGAACTCTGTGTTTTGGGACTGGTGTGGACTCTGGTTGGCTGTTGGGTTGATTTTCCTGGAGGAGATGACTAATAAGGATAAGGGCATCTTCGTCTATGTTTTTTCCTCTATTGTGAATGTCTTGAATATTAATGTATTTTTTTTTTATTCAGTTATTTCAGTATTAGAGCTCAAACACCCTTTCCAGTCTGTACACTTTTGTATGTGTGTATATACTATTGAGACTTTTTTACAAAGTTGGTCCTGATTGTGACTACTGAATACTTTGTAACAGAATTTTTTAAATGTAGGTTATGGATTATAATCATGGTTGGTTTTTATAATGGTGGTTATTAATACTTGTTCACAGCAGCAGTTCTAACTGAATGAGTGAGGCTGTTTTTCTGTATAATCTTTAGCATTTTACCATTTAGTTAGCATCTTTCAATCACAGGTTATTTTATTGTAAATTTTATAGATGTCAATTTTAACTAGAGCACCTTTTTGAGGTAATTGTACGTGGTCTTCAACATAAAGAAAAGCTGATACTGCTGCGGTGAACTGAGTTAAATGCGCTCTGCTGCCTGCTACTAATGGGTTACATTACAGCTTTGGCAGATGAAAGCTGTCTGGGCAAAATCTTCTGCTTTCTCGGTGAGCAGCAGCTGCAAGAACAACTGTTGCTTCACAGCACTTGTCATTTTATAAATCCAAGATCCAGGGAACAGTGAATGGGTTTTAGTGCAGAAGTCTTGAACTGTCGAAGGTAAAAATCAGTTCATTGATTTTCTGGGCTCTGGGCTGGGTTGGTTTCAAGTCGAGGAGTCTGGGTGTCTCCTTCTCTATATATAATTTTTTTTTTTTTGCTGAGGTAAACCAGTGTTGTTTTGTATATTTGCTTCCCTTTTGATTGAAGCCAGTATCTCACAAATAGTCCTTCTCATTGCATCTGTGTTTGTGTGTGACTGTTTGGTGGGGGTGCTTCAGCAAACCCGAGGAGGCAGAGCATCTGACAGCCATGCAGAAGAAAAAAGAGGTCAGTTCAGACGATGAAGAGTCTGAGCCCAGCAGTGGAGATGATGATGATGACGATGACGATGACGACGACGACGATGACGATGATGATTAGATAGATGTATTTTTCTTGAATTCAATTTGTTCATTCACACAAATTTATTGGGCTGATCATGTGGATGTGATGCATTCAGAAAGTTTTGCGACCGCCCATGAAAAGCAGAAACTTCTGATTGAAATCTAATTTTTCCCTGTAAAGAAACTCTCCCTGTGCACCTCTGGAACACTTCCACCATAGAGGCTACTTTTAGATATTAACCTTATATTAAAATGTGAGTAAAAAGAGAAAAGCAGTGACTTGCAAATAAGTTAAAACTTTTATTTATTTGGAAAAAAAATCCCAAGAAAAAATGTTGACATATTACAATGTATTTGTTTTGTTTTAAAATTTTATGTCAGCAGCATGTTTCATAAAATTCTGGATTTATTTCACAGTTTTTCTTAATTTCATCATGTTTTTTTAAGGAAGACTTGTTGACAGTATAGAAATGGATGTAGCTTCTGTGACACTGCTCCCTGGTCTCTGAAGTCTTTGAGGTTTTGAAGCTTTCAGATGATGTTGCCATCTTGGTTTTAAAAAACTGATATGATGAGGCTGATATGAAACCAGATCCTTAGATGATGTAATGCTGGTTTGTTTTAAGACTCTTTCATACAGCTTCTTCTTCTTTCTTTCTTTTTTTCTTGCCTCAAAGCTACTTCCATGTTTTATACTGTCTATGGATAAACTGAGCTTCTCTTGGATTCTCTTCTGAGACTTCTAGTTTGCTGCTCTCCAGTTTAAGATGAGCATATACAATAAAATATCTGTCAACATTTTATATCTCTTCTTAGTACTTTTTCAGTTAAATATCAGGTTATTACTGCATTCTGCTTTATTGACATTTTACTTGCTGCTTTATTGACATTTTACTTGCTGCTATAGTGTAGTTGACAGGATTAAAATATATTTGGCTGAACCCACATGTTATCTTTGCAAAGCTACCTTTTTTTTCTTCCTTGCCAAAAAGCTTGCATTTGCAGACAGCAAATCTCGACCAATGACATTTCAGCTGAGAAAATCAAGTGTGTTAAGCTCCTAGCATTAAACAGAAGTCATGTGCAGGTTACAACGGTTGGCTAAGCTCACTCCTTTTTAACTATTACAAATTATTTCCACTTCCCAATGTGACGCACCAACCAAAGCTGACTGATTCCAGCTTTTTCTGCACGAATAAAGAACTTACACGACTATTTCAGTACTCCACATACATACTCCAGTATATAGGCACCGATGTCTGAAATGTGTTGAGTTGTCATTTCATTTTTTAATAACTGGGACAAATAAATGCCAGACTTGTTCACTGTACTGTTTATGATCGCTATGTTGCTTTGTTGTTGTGTAATCTCATTGGGGATTTCTACTCAAAAACTGGACATGTATTGCCCTTCTGGGGTGTCCATGAATGTTTACTGTTAAATAATTGAACTGTAGATGTGTAAAGCGTAGGCCCTAGTAAGATGTTTCATTGCTAACACTACCCTGTTGCCAGTGTAGATAGTGCTTATCTGTGCTGCTGCCACAAAAATGTGTCTCTTTCTTTCTAAAAGTTCACCAACAGGTTTATGAGCAATGACTACTGTTTACTTCACGGACAACTAGCAAGTTTGTGTTCTGCTTTTTGTATAAAAAGTGAAAAATAAAAATTTCTGTTCAGCGACTTTGGAATAAAGTTTTTTGTTTTAATCATAAAGGCTTGTGAATTCTTTTTGAATAGAAGTGATCAGGGTGTGTACATAGAGGCTCGATATTAACAGCTCAGTAGCATGGAAGAGAATGCAACATACCAACTGTCAGCCACTCCTCGGTGTGTGTGACAGTGAGTTATTGTAAGTCACTCTGCCCTAAAACAGTTGATTGCAGCTTACAGTTTGTGCTGGAAAGTCACTTTGATGTTTTCTGTGTCTTCAAATAATTTGAAACACTCTCACTGGGACAGTTATTGAAAGGATATTGGTGACTTTACTTTGACACTGCTCACAAAGAGCATAAATTCACAAAAACATCAAATAGATGTGGAACACATCACTGGTAACTTGAATGCTCATTTTTTTATATTCCTGAAATTGAATTACATTGTTACCTGTTATGTTCATATCTGTCCTAAGATAAATCTAACTCAAGCTGCTGGAACAATATTAGTTACTAAGGCGGGGTGGAAAGACTGGGACATGCAGGAACCTGCCTGGAATTGTCCAAGCTTGTCAAAAACCCCATCTGTCTCCCTACCAATTCATTTTTTCATTTTATATTGTGCGGTGTATTTGTTATCATTGAAAACAACTCACTGAACCATATGTACCATATTTAACAATCACAGAACCACATAAATGTGCTGTGCTTTTTTTTGCTGTGAGAGATTAACTTACCTCTCGTTAAAAGAAATAATGTTTTGGTGTGATATGACAGTTGGATAAATAGTTCCCAACTTTTCCCACTGCTGATGTCCGATAAAGTCATTGTGGCCAAACATGTCGACTCTGGTCTTGTTTGTTCAAAGGACTTTGTTCAGATGCAACTTTGTAAACCTAATCTGGGCTGCCATGTTCTCTGCAGAGAGAAGAGGCTTTCTCCTTGGAGAAAGACATATTCAGACTATTTCTAACTGTGCTGTCATGAACTGTAGCTTTTCACATGCTAACTGAGACCTTTTCACTGCTGTTTTTTGTACACATCATTCTAACCTTTCTCTTTGCACATAAATATATCTATGAAATGCACTTTATGAAATAATCTTACTTTTTTTATATAACTGTACTTACAGCTGTCAGAAGTATATGTACACTCATCATGGGCATGAATGTCAGTAATTTAGGACTTTTAACGATTTCTTTGTTCATTTTCCAGGATGGAATGATTACACAGTAAACATTTTAATTAATGTAGAAAAACAAGAAGGTGCCCAAGTTTGGCATGTTTTATGAAAGTGAAGTGAAGGTGAGACTGTACCAGTTGTCAAGCATGGCAGTGGTATAACCATGCTCTGAGGCTGTTTTTCTTTAAGTGGTACAGATACATTACATGTGATTGGGGGCGACCGTGGTTGGGAAGCTCATCTTGTAACCGGAAGGTTGCCGGTTCGATCCTCTCTCCAGCTCTGTCTGTCCTGGTCATTGTGTCCTTGGGCAAGATACTTCACCCTACCACCTACTGGTGTTGGCCAGAGGGGCCGATGGCGCGATATGGCAGTCTGCCCCAGGGCAGCTGTGGCTACAACTGTAGCTGCCTCCACCAGTGTGTGAATGTGAGAGTGAATGAATAGTGGAATTGTAAAGCGCTTTGAGTGTCTAGAAAAGCGCTATATAAATGCAATCCATTATTACATTACACAAAGTGGGGTAAGAAGGAGAAGGAATACTTCCAAATTCTTTAGCTTCACCTCAAATCAACAGCTAGACAGTTGGAGCGTGAACACGGCGGCATACATTACATCAAAACTGGTTTTGGAATGGATAAAGCACACTAACATTAAGCTGCTAGAATGGTTTTCCCAAAGCCTCAACCCTGTTGAAAATTTTACAAACTACACTTGAAAATCAGGTCAGTTCAAGAAAACCAACCAATTTAAACAATCTCTACTAATTCTTAAGAGAGGAGTGGTCAAATATACAAGTAGATTTATGCCAGAAGCTTGTTGACGACTACCAAAAGCATGTGGTTGCAACTAGCTAAGGTAATTTTACCAAATATTAGTGGGGATGTTTGTATATATTTTGGCCTGTGTGCATACTTTTGGCCCTGTGTAGATTAGAGAAACTCCAAAATCCTTTCAATCTTGTGCCTCAATTCTTAGTTTTTCAAACTTTTTCAGGCTGTATGCTGTAGAATTATTCCACCCTGTAAAAAGTTCAAAGAAATCATTTAAACACCAACATTAACATCACTGTCCACAGTGAAGCAAATGTCACGTCGCCTCGGACTGAGAGTGTATCAAACAAGAAAGACACAAGAACTACGAAGTGTATGCAAACTTCTGACCAGAGCTGTAGTAAGGCTAACACGAAAGGATTTTTACTTGTACTGAAGTATTTTTACAGATTCACGTGTTTTGCTGCAGTAAATCCAGATACCAAGATTTTCTTTTAAAAGTCTGAGGTAAACTTGAAAACATCTGCAAGTCATAATGCATTATGTGAGGGACATGTCTACCGGTAAATACAATATAATTATGTTTTGTACTGGCTGTAAATTGACGTGCTCTCTGTGTAGTTACAGTCATCCTGCACAGGTCTGCAGTAGCTCTCTTGTCTTCCTGCAGCACGATGCTGTTGTTTTTTTTCCCTTATTGCAGTTCTGGAAGAGTTCCCGCTGCTGCTGCATTGATACTCCAGTGGAGGGGCCTGCAAAGGAGAGCAGTGAGCCTGCAGCCTGCCCACGTTATCTCCCACCCATGAAACGTCTCCACTCTACCTGCTGTGACCTTGCACCAAACCTTACCTACCTGTACGGGTTTAATAATGGAGGCGTGAATAATCCACATCAGTAATCCCTGTTAGTGTATATTTGAAATCCTATGATTATCTTACTCATAACGTACGTGGGATTACGCCATTCAGCCTCATGCTGTTTAAACAAGCACAAAGAAATAACTTTGCTCACTCAACTTCTTATGAATAATACTTTAGCTTACATACCAACATGCATGCAACGCCAAGCCGACTGATTGTATCATATACTATAGAAATAACAGTAATAACATAATATTTCTATTGCTGACTATCTGAAGTTTTGCACAACTAACACAAAACATTAATGTATTTTAAAGAGTGTATGAAGTTGTAAATTAAGAAACAGAAAAGGTGCAGTTCGTTATTCCCCCCAAATAACACCTTTCTCAATAATCACAGCATCAACTTGCAAATATGAAATCACAGTTATTAGCATGTAAGGCAAATACTTGCAGTTAAAGCCCTTGGAATCGCAAATCTCACCATTTCTTTTTCTTGTAAACGGAAAAACAAAATTTAAAAAAGTACTATCAGCAGCGGAAAACAAGCATGCATGGATGTGAGCAGATGTGAGTTGTCCCTGTGTCCTCTATTTGTCTAGCTGTACCTCGACTCAGGTGACAAGCTCTGTCACATGGTCTCTGCTGCATCCTCGTTAAAACTCACAAATTTCTCTCTTTCTTCTTTTTTTGTATTTGAAAAACCTTTTGTGACCATAGAGGCACCTAACAGATGGAGTCTGACAGGCAAATAAATAAATAAACCAATCAAATCTGTAAGTTAAGTGCTAAGCATTTTCTGCTGCGGTGAATAGTGCTGACACAAGGCATTGCTGAGCTGTTGTTGACTGATGGTCTGTACATTTATGGCAAAGAAGCTGTCGTGCTTTAAAAAAAATGACTGTACACACTCGTGTATCATAATGGACTTACAGCAGAGTTTTAGCAGATTAAAGAACAATATAACAATACACAAGATAGTGTGACTTTGTATGCACTAAATAGGGCATACTGCACATAAAATATGCTAATTCATAGCTCTGAATGGTAATGCGATGCAAGAAATCTTCACCTTACAAGACAAAACGACAGAAGAAACAATATAAGAGTAGGGGGCAGCTTTTAATGATTACAATTAAAAGAAAAAGACATTTTAAAACAAGTCTGTGCAAACAAGAAGCTACTTTACTGCTTTCCTCACCCATTGTAAATCTCTCACGTTGCAAAATATGGTGTTGCCCAGGAAAGAACGATGAAAGAAGTATTTATGATAGGAGCTTTTAAATGTGTGTCTTACAGGAGACCTGGGGGATCTGTGGTTACGTACCCAGCCTCCACGTCACCCTGCACTGCAGAACTTTTCTCTGAGCTTCATAAACACTGTCAAAAGTGCCTGGGTGTGTACACCAATGGGGGGGTGAATGAGACAAGGAGTTGTCTGGGGCATTGGAAGGGGGGGGGGGTGCAGAGGTGAGGTAAGAGAGAGGTGGCATGCAGCCAACTGAGAGGACAGAGAAAAGTTGGGAGTTAGCCGGAGAGAAGAACAGGGAGATTTATCTTCACTGAGGCTGTGCTGAGGAGGGATAAGAGCCTCGGCGTTTTCCCTGGATGTCTGTCTCTCGGTACCTCTATTTTTTTGCTTACATCCCCCCTCTCTTATTTAATTGTCGCTCTTCTTGGCTGGCACTGCAATGTGGCTGTCTCTGCAGTGAAAGTGCTGCCTGGCAGATTCTCCTTGAGTGAACCCTGGTTGCGCAGTGAGTGCTGCTCTGCCTCCGTCCTGTCCACACTGACTCAGCTGTGCATGCAGTTGGTCAGCCTCTGAGTGAGCACCGGCTGCAGGAGCAGGTAGGCAGTAGCAAAGTTAAACTGTGCTTATCATCAAGTCATGTTTCTTTTCACTCAGCATCCTTTATTTTTATTTATTTATTTTTTTTTTTTTAAAAAGGTTATTGTATGTGTAGGAGACTTGCATTTTCTGTGCACTAATATAACTTTTTACTGTACTGCCTGTGTATTCATCGCGACAGATTTTAGTTAATTAACCTTTTTCCTTCCTTCTCCTCACCCTCCTCCTCCTCTGCCCACCGACAGTCCCTTCTAAAGGAGTGCTACCCTGAAACAGCTGCAGGTGCAACACTTGGAGTACACGCATCCACAGAGCAGCTTCCTGATTTTTCCAGTGGACAGAGTATTCTCCTAGCTTTCGGGGCCAGTGTTGGATACTGCAGCATCATTTGTTTTGGAGCAGCTCTAGCAGCCATGAAGGTCCGGTGGATTGGGGTTGAACCCGTGAGGCTGGGCCCTCCACACACAGCCTGTGGCCTGGTCTTCTCTTTGCTGCTTGGTAATGTCTGTCTTTCTTTTTATGTCATATGATGTGTGCAGTGTTAGAAAGCTTCATCTTTTCCTCACATCAGTATTTATTCATGTGTTTAGGTAGAATAATGATGCTTTGGTATTTCTAGGTCTTATACTGACCTTCATCTCTGACCTATGCAGAGCACAACAATTTGTGTAAGAAATAAGAAACACTATGATTATTTTTGTTTGGGTTGTCCTTGTTTTTTTTTTGTTGTTTTTGGGTTTTTTTGCATGATGTTGCATTTTACATATTGCTCTGAGCCAGATGGAGTAGAAGTAGGTGGAGGTCTTGTAAACTAACTGGTTTTGTTAAATTCATATGAGTCGTAAAGTTTTGATGGCTTTTACAAGTAAGCACAAAGTAACAGTACAAGCCTGAGATTATTTATAACCAACAGATAGGTAATAATGTGGCTTGACACTTCAAATAATCATTCAGAGCTAATACTTGATGCTGATACTTGTGCTTTGAAATAGCCACATCCTTTTTAGAGTCATAACTTAATTTCTATTCATGCCTCTCTTGGGGCATCAGTGCACCAAACACACATTAAACATTTAAAGCTCCCTTGTTTAAAGCATCTTGTGTAGGAGATGTAGGCTGTAAGGTTCCCTTATTGTCCCAGTCCATTTCAAGTCCTGTAAGGTGCATAAAAATGAATCTATTGCAATAAATATCCTGTGTTCCCCACTTTTAATACCAAATTCTTTTCTTTGCATTGTGTTACATTCACACACAGGAACAGATGAGTAACTGTCACTGTCTGGCCAGATTTTTCATAAACAGATCAGCGATTTTTCACAGGTGTTCTTTTTTTTTTCTTTTTTACAATGTAAAAGAAACTTTCAAGAAACACGTGCGGAAACTGCACAGTAGGCCAAATCTGCAAATGCAGGTGGCCAGCAGCGAGAAAGATGCTACAGCGGTTAAACCATAGCTCAGGACAGTGATTATATTACAGGAGTACAGAATGATATTTGCCTCATGTAATGCATTTATTGTATGATGCACTGTAAGGTGCTTTACAGGATATGGCTAACAGCCTGAACAGAGAGAATAACAGTTTTATAGCCACATGTAGGATAAAGAGAGGCAGGTACTATGGAAAATAGATTTTATTTTATTTCTGAGTTATTATTACTGTCTGAATTATGACTTAGACAAATCATCTTATGTCTTAAGCATTATGGCATTGATGGGGTTGATTTTGAGACAGTGTTTAGTCAGAACCTTTAAAAGGTAGATGTAATTTTCATGGACGGTATGTGTCTTTATTTTACCTTCAAATAATGATCTGTTCTTGTCCCCACATAGCCCTCACAGTAGTTGGTGGTTTTTTGCATACATCGGTTAATAAAAAAAGAAGAAGAAAATGTTGACATATGTGGGTTAGAAACTGGAACACCAGTGTGCTACTTTTATCTGAAACACCAAGACTCACGAAACAAGTTTTAATGAACAGTACAGAAGTTGGATTTAGAAGAGAGCAGTAAATACCAAAAGGTTTTCATTGTGTTAGGGATAAAACAGAAAGAAGATGTTTTTTTTATTTCCTGATCTTGTGTGAGCAGCTTCAGTATCTACACTGATAGCAACAGTGTCCTTGTACTGGAAAATGTGTTAGTTAAGGACACACAGAGGTGCTAAAAGAATGAAAATAAAATCAAACAAATACTGTGAAAAAACTCTAGTGATAAAAGAATAAAATAAAACATGCATGCATGAGACTGCAGAGTGATTGTGCTGCTCTCTCATTACTCCTTTTCTGGGCTCGCTGGACTGCATAGGAGCAGCTGAGGAAAAGATTAGAAGGTGTGATTTCTTTTTTTGTCAGGGCAAGAGTGAGCTGAGAGTGAATCGATAGCATGCACACTTACAGTGCCCCTCCCCCGTCTTTCGCTGTGTCAGTTTGTGTTTCCTGTTCCTCCAAATGGTGCTTGTGAGATGTTGACCTTGAGCATGTTATGCACAAAGTGTCCACAAACCACAGGGCAGAATCACAGGAATGTTACAACGAGTGTAGAACATACTACTGATCATATAATAGGTCTGTGTTAGTGTTTCTCTGCATTAAATCTCCAACCTGCAAAACACACTGTCAGCATGTACTTTACCTCACATCCTTCACAGGAAGCACTAAGCAAAAGGCACATTAGTGGTGTAGGCCAGAGAGAGAGAGGAGAGCTTCTGTCTGTCCTCGACCTGCTGAAATTATATACTGTAGCCATCTGCTGTCTGTGACCTTCACACAAAAGCAAGTGCTAAGTTCGAATGTCTTACAGTTGTGGTCTGAAGTTTACATGCACTCATCACGGGTATGAAGGTTAAGGTCATTTGAGGACTTTTATGATTTCTTCAAACTGTTCGTCTGTACATCTGTAATGACTTACAAAAAACAGGGATTGGGTGTTTTCTCCAATTCACACTGGGCCAGAAATATACATTTACTCACATAAAACATTCAGTAAATGGGGTTGAAAGTTCTACACTGTTTTGGTTTTTGGTTTTTTTGACAAAGCAAAGGCTTATTAACTACTCATGGTCATGACTGACTGCAACTGGAACATTGGAAGTCCAAGGTGAAGATCTCAGGAGTTGGGAAGGTCTCTTGTAGTTTTTTCAGATGTGTCACCACTTCGCTGAGGTCTGTTAGAAGTCCCAAACTGGCAACCTCAGATAAGAGGCAATTGGTTAAAAGGTCCAGGAACCACAGGGGCTCAAGCCTGCCATGAATGGAAAACTACTGGAACTCCAGCATCACTTTCCACAGTGAAGTGGGATTCCCATCATCTACTAAGCGGGCATCGACCAAGGAAGTAGATCGTGTGCCAAAATCAACACTTTAAAGCTCAGCTGAAATTTACAGCAGCCCACCCCTGTTTTAAGGTCATTATAGATGTGCGCTGTCATTTCACTCTGATAAAAGAACAGTTCAAAGAAACTGTTAAAGGCCCCAAATACCAGATCATGCATGTCCATGATGAGTGCATGTTAACTTTTGACTACAACTGTATACCTGATATAAAAAATATATATCAGGTATACATAAATTGAACATAAATAGATAAAAAAAAAAATTTGAATTAAAATACGTAAAGTATAATCACAGCACACTCTGATGCTGATGGATGCTGATGGTCCTTGGTGTGCAGTTACAGTTTTCACAGCAAAGTCACAGCAAGGACATTATGGTGTTCTCTTACCAAGGGTTTGAATTGTTTAATGCTATTAATAGAAATAATATCTGTGGTGTTAAATATATTTTCATAAAAGAAAAACTTAAGTGGTTGATAGGATAAATAATGTGTGATCCATGCCCATTACACGCTTTGCTAGTAAGCAGTGACTGTGTGTATCTACTTAAAAATGGTACAAAATAATCTAAAAGGTGACTTTTCATTGTTAATCGTGCACCTCTTTTTACTGTACAAAAAAGTACAGAGCACAACATGTATTCTCCTGCCCATGAACATAAAAAGTTGAAGGTTTTCAAATCGTTTTTAGCATGATACTGAGGAAAATGTATCTGTGTTACTGACATTATAATAACGTTGACAACTGAGATATGAAATGTAAATGATGGGCTGACATTGTGGGAAATATCCCTTATTCACTTCCTTGTCTAAGTGCTACACTTAGACCACATTTCTGATGAATATGAACTAAAATCCAACCATCAGTAATTCTTATTGCTGATGAATTTTTATATTACGCAAAATCAAACAAAATCTCGTCTTTTTCTTGACTTAAAAGCAGCGATGAACTAAAATCTCTACAGGAATTCACTGTTCCCAGGTCAAAAACACCCCAGCATGTAGCGTCTATCTTATTTATTTACATGTGTTTTTCCCCAAATTAAACAAATAAGATGCTATGAGTCAGTGGAGGTTATCAAATCTATTTTACATTACTGTGCAAAAGACTTGAACCACATCCTTCTTCTCATTTCTTTATATTTTGCAAGCAAAATTGGTGCAGTGTTTTTATTGAAAAGTGTAAACATAATGGAAATACAGTATATAGGCCAAAAACAGAGATTGTATGATACTCATGAGCTTGAAAGTCAATATTTGGTATGACCACCTTTATTCTTCAGCACAGCCTGACTTCTCATCAGCCGCTTTCTTCTCATTTCTTTAAGTCTTCCTCAGGAATAATTCTCCAGACTTCTTGAAGGACATTCAAAGCTCTTCTTTGGATGTTTATGCCTTTTGTTCTGTTCTCTGTCAAGATGATCCCGCCCTGCTTCAGTAATGTTGAGGTGCAGTTCATGATTTATATTGTTAAGCTGCATGTTTTTCTATTTATGTGTGCTTTTACTGCATCGGCAGTGTGTTTGGGATAATTGTTATTATTTCAGATGGTATTGCGTGAATCAAAGTCAGACAGTGCTTTTCAGTTTCGATAAGATCACCAACACCGCTGGCTAAAATGAAATCCCAAACCATCACAGAGTCTCCCAGCCAGGGGGTGCAGATGGCATATTCTCACTGTACCTCCATCCTGACAACCTCCATACATATTAACAATGATTTGATCCAAGAATTTTGATTCCTCGCTCTATATGACTTGTTTATTTTCAGTCCTGTTCTTGTGTAATTTGCCATAGCTCAGCCTTATATCCCTGTTTCCCATTAAGGATGGCTTCACAGCTCCAACACCATTGTGAAGTTTGCTGACGACACAGTGGTGTTGGGCGCCATCTCCAACAACGAAAGTCTGTATTTCAGGTGTTAGCATAAGCACATAATAATCTTTCATTGCAGGTGCAACTGTAATCATGTTATACACATATTGCATAATTAAAGGGTTGAAGCTCGGTCAAGTTAATTAATGGTTTGAAGCTACGGGCAGCGCGATGTCTGGCCGATCAATGGAGCAAAGTTCAGCTATTGAAAGGTTGCCTACATGTTTACAGTATAATTTACTACATATTGCCTGCGTGCATTCAGCAGCCTGCTGCACTGGAGTTTGCCTGGTAACAGATGACGTAGAGGGGGGGTCATGTACTGAGGTTAACAACACAGACACATAGTCTGTCTGGGTAAACTGATTGCAAATGTTGTGTAAGTCTAGAAAAGTGTAATAACAGGATGCATCTGGGAGGCGGTGGAGGAACTGAGAAAGGAACTGTTCTGTTTAGTTACTGGTCATCATAAGTATAAATATTACACCCACCTATTGTCAGGCGGGAGATGGAGCCTGATGTTTTGCAGAACCCATCTTCACCACATATATGTGTTTTAATAAAATCATTTGTGTTGACCCACTATGGACTTTCAGTCGTATGTCTCTTCCTCAAAAATTCGAACCACGACACGGCCTACATGGATGAAGTGAAGAATCTGGCATCATGGTGCCAGGACAACCATCTCCAGCTGAACGTTGGCAAGACCAAGGAGCTGGTGGTGGACTTCAGAAGGGGTCAGCACAGAGACTACAAGCCCATTATCATCAATGGAGCTCCCGTGGAGAGTGTACAGTCCTTCAAGTATCTCGGTGTCCACATCTCCTCAGACATGACATGGTCTGCCCACATTCAGGTCCAGACCAAAAAGGCTAGGCAGCACCTGTACCACTTACGACAACTGAGGAAGTTCAGGGTCTCTCCAAAGATCCTCAGGGTTTTCTATACAGGCACTGTGGAGAGCATCCTCACACAGAACATCACATCCTGGTTTGGGAACAGCTGTGTTAAGGACCAAAAAGCTCTTCAGAGAGTGATCCATATGGCAGAACGCTGCTGCAAGGACACTGAAGATACTGAAGGGCCCGTCCCATCATTATTTACGGGTTGTACGGAAGCCCCAAACACAATTTCATTGTTCTCTGACAATGACAATAAATACTTAAATGAAATGAAATGAAATCATGGCAACAAACTGGTCCAACTTCTGTCCGGTAGAAGGTTCCGCATCATCCGGGCAAGGACAGAGAGACTCAAGAGGAGCTTCTATCCCCAAGCCATTTATAGATTCAACTAATCAAATTATTTTTTATTCTCAGCTGTGTGTAACAATGTGCCTAAAAATACAATTTAAAATTGGTTCTTTTCTAAGTTTTCTGCCATGAATGGACACAACAATTGTTCATCCTTTTAGTTAGATACATATTTTATGCTTGAATAATTCAGAGGTCAGTGACAAAAACTATTCCTATGAAAATGGTTAGGTACAAGGACTGCACTAAAATTGAATAAAAAAGCAATCAAAGAAAACCTTTGACCTTCAGAAAGCCTGGAGAAATATTGCTCAAGAGCATTTAAAAAATGACAAATAAAACAGACAACTTGAAACAAATATAAAGAAAGAGTTGTTTAAATGCTTTTTCCCGGCCTTGGTATCAACTAGTTGGTAGGTGTAGTTGTATATTTAACAAACAGATATGAAATTACTGCCGGTCTTCTAATCTAACTCTCAGCAAGAAAGCAAATAACCAAGACAAAAAAAAATTATTACACCAGCATACAGACCTCACACTATGGTACTGCACTGTAAGACTGGTGTATGTCCTATCTTCATGTTTTTTGCCATTCCTCTGCTTTTCAGGTGCGTGGTCTGCTCAGGCCCTTGAGATGTCTGTCGGGAAAATTCCCTTCCTTCAGGCAGTGAATGGGAGCACAGTTACTTTGCCGTGCACCTATGCCAGCTGTATTGGCATTGAAAATCTCTACTTCAACTGGCAATTCAATGACAACGGCACTATGCAAAAGGTAAAAACCTTCCACGTGATTCAAAGATTTCTGTTTGTTTTTTTCTAACTTGTGCAGTCGGCAGCAGTTTTGAGATGACTGATATCTTGCTGATCCCATCAGATCTGTGAGTCAGTGATACCTTCAGAGGGGGTGGTGCCAGATGTGACTATATTCCGGGAGCGTGTGGAGTTTGTGGGGAAAAACCATCATAATAACGTCTCCATCTTGTTGTTGAACATCACCTTTGAGGATGGGGGACAGTACACGTGTTTTGGACGCAATCCCAAAGAGCACCACAAGAACCATAGTGCCATCTTCAACCTCATAGTGGTTGACGAGTGTGAGTGGTCATGGTCTATGACATATGCCACAGTGTCATCTAATTTATTTTTCTTTCATTACAAAGTTAAATATATCCTGTTAGATTTTAAGGACATCATTGTTAAACTGTAAACCAGCTTTTTTCTGCCCCATTGAACTAGTCGTTTGAATGTTCATGTTTTCACACTGATATACACCAATCAGTGCATAACACCAATGACCACTGACAAGTGAAGTGAACAACACTGATCTCTGATATGACCACCGACCTAAGCACTGTTGCCGACCATGTGCTCCCTTTGATGGAAGCGGTAATCCCTGTGGACTCTTTCAGTAGGATATTGCGTTGCAAAACAAATAAAAAAGGTTCAGGAGAGGTTTGAAGAGCACAGCAATGAATTTGAGGTGTTGACTTGACCTCAAATTCCCCTGATCTAAGTCCAGTTGAGCATGTGCTGGACAAACAAGTCAGATAATCAGATGCCCTGGAGCCATGCCCGGGGAGGGTGCCCGAGGGCAAGCGTCTGGTGGCCGGGCCTTAGTCCATGGGGCCTGGCCGGGCACAGCCAAAAAAGGGGACATGGGCCCATCCTCCCGCAGGCCCACCACCTGCAGGAGGCGCCATAGGGGTCGGGTGCATTGTGTGCCGGGCGGACTGATCCCCGGCGGGTATTCTAATATCCCCTCAGCTAGCTGCCGGTACATTGGGGTTTTTCCCGGTGGACCGGTGGATGAGAGGGTTTGTTCTCTGCGCCTTAGGGTCGGGGAACGGGTCCTGACTGTCATCTGCGCTTATGCGCCAAGTGGCAGTTCAGAGTACCCAGCATTCTTAGAGTCCCTGGGTGGGGTGCTGGAGGGTGCTCCACCTGGAGACTCTGTTGTCCTGCTGGGAGACTTCAATGCTCACGTGGGTAATAACAGTGAGACCTGGAGGGGCGTGATTGGGAGGAACGGCCTCCCTGATCTGAATCCGAGCGGTGTTTTGTTATTTGACTTCTGTGCAAATCACAGTTTGGCCGTAACGAACACCTTGTTCGAACATAAGAATGTCCATAAGTGCACGTGGCAGCAGGACGCTCTAGGCTGCAGGTCAATGATCGATTTTGTAATCGTATCACCAGACCTGCGTCTCAGGAGGGGAAAGCGGTGCTCTACCTGCACTGTGTATAGTGCTGGCGGAGCGCTGCTGACTTCGACTGAGAAACTTGTCAGGCGGTGGAAGGAATACTTCGAGGACCTCCTTAATCCCACTGACACGTCTTCCGAGGAGGAAGCAGAGTCTGGGGATGAGGGGAATGACCCGCCAATTTCCGGGGGCGAGGTCACTGAGGCAGTTAAACAACTCCTTGGTGGCAGAGCCCCTGGTGTTGATGAGGTCCACCCCAAGTTCCTGAAGGCTCTGGACGTTGTAGGGCTGTCCTGGTTGACACGCTTCTACAATGTTGCATGGAGATCAGGGGCAGTACCCCTGGACTGGCAGACCGGGGTGGTGGTCCCCATCTTTAAGAAGGGGGACCGGAGGGTCTGTTCCAACTACTGGGGGATCACACTCCTCAGCCTCCCTGGGAAAGTCTATGCCAGGGTGCTGGAAAGGAGAGTTCGTCCGCTAGTCGAACCTCAGATACAGGAGGAACAATGCGGTTTTCATCCTGGTCGCGGAACACTGGACCAGCTCTTTATCCTCTCAAGGATACTTGAGGGTGCATGGGAGTTTGCCCAACCAGTCTACATGTGTTTTGTGGACTTGGGGAAGGCATTCAACCGTGTCCCTCAGAGTGTCCTGTGGGAGGTGCTGCGGGAGTATGGGGTGTCTGGCCCATTTCTACGGGCCATTCAATCCCTATACAACCGTTGCAAGAGCTTGGTTCGCATTGCCGGCAATAAGTTGGACTCGTTCCCGGTGGGTGATGGGCTCCGCCAGGGCTGCCCTTTGTCACAGATTCTGTTCATAATTTTTATGGACACGATTTCTAGGTGCAGCCAAGTGGCGGAGGGCTTTCACTTCGGTGGCCTCATAATCTCATCTCGGCTTTTCGCGGATGATATGTTTCTGTTGGCTTCATCGGGTGAAGGCCTCCAGCTCCCACTGGAACGGTTCACAGGCGAGTGTGAAGCAGCGGAAATGAGGATCAGCACCTCCAAATCTGAGGCCATGGTTCTCAGCCGGAAAAGGGTGGAGTGCCCACTCCGGGTCGGGGATGAGTTCCTGCCCCAAGTGGAGGAGTTCAAGTATCTCGAGGTCTTGTTCGCAAGTGATGGGAGAAGGGAGCAACTCAGTGATGGGAGAAGAGTAGTGACCGAAAGCATGAGATCGCGGATACAAGCGGCGGAAATGAGCTTCCTCCGAAGGGTGGCTGGCCTCTCCCTTAGAGATAGGGTGAGAAGTTCAGCCATCCGGGAGGGGCTCAGAGTAGAGCCGCTGCTCCTCCACATCGAAAGGAGCCAGCTGAGGTGGTTCGGGCATCTGACAAGAATGCCTCCTGGGCGCCTCCTTGGTGAGGTGTTCCAGGCATGTCCCACCGGGAGGAGGCCCCGGGGCAGACCCAGGACACGCTGGAGAGATTATATCTCTCGGCTGGCCTGGGAACGCCTTGGCGTTCCCCCGGATAAGCTGGAAGAGATGGCTGGGGAGAGGGAGGTCTGGGCTTCTCTGCTTAGGCTGCTGCCCCTGCGACCCGGCCCCGGATAAAGCGGATGAAGACAGATGGATGGATGGAATAACTTTATTTATAAAGCGCTTTCAAACAAAGTGCTGTGCAGCTATTTGACTGTACTATAGTCAAATAGCTACAGTACATGGTAACTCTATTGGAGCCCATGCCTCAAGGGGTCAGGACTGTTTTGCCAGCAAAAGGCAAATGACACCATGTTAGGCAGATAATGGTAAAGTTATGGTTGATTGGTGTATAAGGCAGTCACAGAAAGGGTGGTCTTCCAGATGCTCAACTGGACTGGTAAAAATAAGAGAGAACATGCATGTGTCGAAGGCAAAATTACAGAGCTCCGCAAGAGACATAGGAGAAAATGGGACATGGGAGCTGAAGTTTTGCGAGATCTCGCAAATGTTTTGGCCGCATTCTTTGGAGGCCACCAGCTTCAAGCCGACCGGGAGGTCAAGGCACGATGTGCCGGGAGTGCGGTGTTCTCCCCGGCTGTAGTGGGCCTCATCCTCCTGCTAGCTTCGAGATGGTGGGTAACAGACGTCTCTGAAAACGTTGGAGCACTTTTGCAAATATGTGATGTCATGATAAACTGAGCAGATATTAGACATTTACACAGCTACATTCACGCCTCAAAATATCTTAAAAGTTTATTTTGTGATCCACAAAGAGTAAAATTAAAACTAAACTTGTTGGAAACGAATTGGCTGGGCCGCGCCATGAATTCTGGGATAGGTTGGGTTACGAAGGATACACTGACTCGGCCTTCAAATGCAACCTGCGAAGTATGCAGTCTATTTTGCGAGATCCCGCAAAAGTTTTGCTACATCCCAAGTTAGTTTTGCGAGATCTCGCAAAAGTTCATCTTAATTTTTTTTTCTCCCATGTCCCTTGCGGGGCTCCGTACAAAATAAATCAGGTCGCACATAAATGAAAAACATATATTTGTGCAGATAAGAAAAAGAAATCTGGTGACATTTCATATATTTTTTATATATATTTAAAATATTTTTAAATGTATGTAATTTCATATTTACATTTCACAGCTTTTTTGTTATTCTAAGACTGATAAATGTAGAAGGAGCAACGGTCACAAGATCAGCTAAAACAGGAGGTTACCCTGAGACAGACAACGCCTGAACAACATGTCATCATGTTTAGCTACCTTCATCGGTTTTTACCTGGTCATTTGTTAATGCCTGCAGTGAGGGAGGTGGACAACACGCTGACCATCATCATAGCTTCGGCTGTGGGTGGGGCAATTGCACTGCTGATGGGCTTCATGCTGCTCAAGAACTTCACTCTCTTTGTTCTCACCAAGCTTGAGGAGAAGAAGTAAGTTTTCTTATAAGCAATGATCTTTCACTAGATTACACAGTTGGTGCTTGGCATCAAGTTAGATCAGCCAGTATATGTACATGCTGAGGATTTTCAGCTTTGAACTTTTGTGTGTCTACAGCTTTAACACTGTCTCTTTTACCTCCAACTGCAGTAAGGAGTGCCTTGTAACTTCATCAGGGATTGACAACACAGAAAATGGCCTCTCAGGATCCAAAGCAGATTCAAAACCAACACCAAAAAAGAAATGAGACAGTGCATGTAAAAACAAGTGTATATAAATATGCCAGTGCTCATATTTATATACCATCTCTGGATATTTGTATATGCTCATGTGTTTGCGCACATGCAAATTCATTATGTTCAAGTTAAAAGCTTAACTCTGGTTGTGGCCTTCAGAGAGGGAAATTATATCAAATGTGTAAAGAGAAGTAACTGTCCAGATGATGTACAACAATATTATTTAAAATGTGCACATCATTTTTGCATAACTGCATAATTTACATAAACAGTAGCAGATTAGAAATTAGATGAAACTTTATTAATCCCTCGGGTGGGTTCCTCCGGGAAATTCAGTTTCCAGTCGCACAGCACCGACAGAAGTTGCATGTTGCAGAGTTGGAATACCAAATAAAGGGGTAACAACTAACACTTGACTTATTTAGGATATCCAGACAGTAACTGAGCCTGATGAAATGTAACAAACAGGTAATATATTGAGGCTTGGTGGAACACATCAGAAATCTCAAATGATCATTATCCCCATGTTGTCTTTCTGGGTGGGTCAATTAAGACGTCACTGCTCCAGCAGCAGCAGTGAAGGTTTGAGCTTAAATGGACTCAACAACACAATACAACATGAAGAAAGAAGATACTTTACAAAAGACTATGTATTTCAGGAACTTGAAATTAGTTTAAGTGATTAATTTCCTATTATTTTACGGGCCCTGTAAAACAAGACGTTTGAGTAACTTCTTAAATGAATATTTGGGAATTCAATTCACAACTACAGTCTTAATCTGATACATTGTTACCAACCTGTGAAAAAATAGTAATATATCTGTCGGCATAATTTGTTGTTGTTTTGTGTTTATACTTTGACCATTACATATTATTTTATATACACAATTGATACCAAATTTAAATGTTGCTTTGTGTTATACGGCAGTATAGCATATAGCTATGTGAAAAAGAAAGTACGCCCTCTTTCAGTTCTATGATTGTACATCAGGACATAACAACAACAACAACTTAGTGTGTACACTAAGTACAAGATTCATTAGCTTGTACAATCATATTTAACAGCAATAAATTGAAGAGGTCAGTGTCTCTCATGTTGTTTTTAGAGGAATTCTTTAGTCCACTGAGATGTGCAGGCATTCAGGCACTGTATGTCTGCACACCTCTACACTCCTAAGTACTACCTCAGCATTTTTGTTTCTTTTTCAGCCATTCTGTACATTGCATTACCCAATTTAGACCACAGCTTTAGCTGTCAGACAAATGGCTTCACGTTTAACATCAAACTGACTCTAGAATATTTTTGTAATAAGAGGAGTTTGTGGTTAACTCCGTAACTGTGAGGTATCCAGGTCCTGTGGCTGAAATCAGCCAAATCACCACACCGCTACCACCACGTTTTACAGTTGGTGTGAGGTGTTTTTTGCTGATGTGCTGTGTTTGTGTGGTATTGTGCATTATAGCCAAATGTCTCCACTTTGGCCTTGTTTGTCCAGAGGACATTGATCCAGAACTTCAGTGGTTTGTCAGATGCTATGTTATTTTTAGAGAGAAGGGACTGACATGTTGAGCCTTTTTTAAATTGTCGTGTCATTAACTTTAACATTCACATGCTAACTCAGACTGTGGAGCCAAAGATATAGCTCTTAAATTTTTTTCAGTTTCTCTGTGCACTGCATGGTCTGACCTTGGGGTGAATTTTCTGGGATGTCCACCCCTGGAAAGACTGGCAACTGTCCTGAATTGTTTCCACATGAGAATGAGCTTACTCACAGGAAAGTTCAAATTGTTTGGAAATTATCTTATGGCCCTTCCCAGCTTGATGGCCAGCAACAGTTGTTTCTCTAAGATCATTACTAATGTATTTCTTCTTTGGGGTTTTTGGGTTAACAAACACCTGAATGCTCCTAACTGCAATATTAATTCCTAAAGATCTACTTATTTTTTTTCATCACCTGAATTTACGTAATAAAATTCCTGTTAAGAACCAAATGGTTTGTTAACATGTCGTGTCATGGAAAACCTTAGAACTGAAAGAGGGTGTACTTTCTTTTTTCGCATGACTGTACGTACTGTTGGCAAGTGCTTCTTGAAAGGATACTACTGGGTTCCTCTCTATAATATTTTAAGACTTACCTTATCATGTAAAGGCCCCTGAGATACCTGGAGCTCTCTTAATAAAACAAAAATGAACTAAACTGAATAAAGGGAAAGCAACTGCAGGCTCTTATTTAACCACTCAGAAAAAACCTTCAGTATATTGTTTTATAAAGAAAAATAAAAAAAACAATTGATGTGCACATTTTATGACATCGTAAAATGAGGATGTAATGTAATGTACACAAGCAATACTGTGTGGGTCCATTGCTGAAGCGATTATTAACTGCTACCACAACCAGAGTTGGAAAAAAAATATGTGACTGTTTTTCATCTGAAGTCAAAGAAACTTTCTTTGTTTAGGTGCTTGAAACAGGGAAAAAATGCAATATAATACAACTGGTCTGAACCATCCTTTAACTAACACCAAATTCACTTACAACAGTAAATATATCTGTATAACCTTTTACACAACATTCAGATTGTCTGGTTTATTCAAACAACTAACACAGAGACTGTATCGACAGAATGCGGCAGGATTCAGCCCAGTTCTTCATCCTCTTTGCTTGATATAAAACACAGGTGCCTGTTAGTGCTTCTATGCTTGTCTGTCACTTAGGACGGCTACATGTTGTAAAGCAGTTTTTAAAAAATCAAAAACAAAAAGTAACACAACAAGCTTCTTAAAATAAAGGATAGACAATCCCCTGAAACATCCTCCCCCTCCTAGAAAAATGAATGACCCCCAAATGCTGCTTTTAAGACAAATAATCAATGCATTTAAGCATGTGCAATATGGGCAAAGCCTTTAAAAGATGTTCCTTTGGAAATACATGTTCTGCTATATCAACACCGGTAGCATCAGCTCTGAGTTAGCTGTAAATCCCATTTTGTACCACGCTAACTTCATTGTGCTAGCAGTGTCTGAGGTTAAGCACTACATATTCCCTCTGCTTAGTATGCGCCTGTTGAAATGGCTTTTCTAAGCACTGACAAACAATCATTTAGTTAGCGGTTTACTCTTTGCAATAAATAATTCTTACCCAGCGCACTGCTGAGAGAAAAACTGACTGGGTATCCATGCACGTGCACTCAGTAAACCACCCATAATAATGTGGGAATATAATTGGTTGGTCTGGATCTCGCAGGTTGAGTAGAGGGGCTGTATGGCAGGGATAATCTGTTCAAGCAGGAATAAATGATGCTCACTGACTGTGCCAGACAGGTAAAGGGTGACCAGATCCCAACAAACTAAATGTGGGACAAGCTCAGTGTATGTGTGGCACAAAGTGTGACATGTTAGCAATGCTGGGAGGCATTCAAATATTTAAATCCAACTTTCCAACTCTCTTGCTCAGTAAATGCAAGAAAAATAAAAGGAAGCTGAAGTTTGGGGCTAAAAATGCTATGCAGTACTATTTAAAGTGGGACATCTGTTCACCTGAGACAGGGATGAACCAGGAGAAGAATTAATCAGCACCAGACCCAATGAAATAGTCATATAATATTTCCGGGGAGTGGCATGTATGTGTGTCTGCCATCACCGTGGCGCTCCACATTTATAGGTAATCTTAGAGTAATCTATTCTCAATCCTAAATAATGTGATGGTTTGAAGGCTTTCTGAAACTCACCCTTATGTTAATAATTATGTGCCTCTGGTCTTTTAACAAAGGCTCAAAGCAATATAGCTATTACAATGCTATTCTAAAGATATAGATGTATGTTTCTGTGTATGTATTATCCATGTGAGTGTTGGTTTTCCATTGTTCAGCTAAGTTAACCAAACAGATGGTTAAAGGCTGTTGTTGAACACTGATGATGATGGTTTTTTGATGGCAATTGATGGCAACAGATGAGTGTTACAGAAAAAAATATGCTTATTTGCTTGTCCTCCTGTGAGTAAAATGATAAAATTGGTATCACTCTTTCACAAAGCTACTACCACCAAGTCAGTTAGCTGAACTTACCTGGCTTTTCCCAAATGTGACAGCACCTCAAAAGCTTTATCAATTCTATGAACACATGTGACTAACTCTCAGCAAGAGAACAAGCAAACCGATTTCTCATTCTCAATACCTTTGAAAAACATATTGCAAGTAAGCAAAGCGCTGGAAATATTATGGGCAATATTCATTTGATGTTCCAACTATGGTAACTATGTTTTGATTGCAAGAGTAAATCCACCTTAGAGTCAGATCTTAACTCCTAGGCTGTTGTTGTGACTTTGGAAACACGAAGGCAAAGTTGTGCAAGATCGTAAGTTTAAAAATATTTAATCGCAATAAATATATTTAATTGTAAAGGGGTGGATTTTCTCTGAGTGTAAAAGATCCACTTCTGTCAGGTGTTGTTGGTTTTAAGGTTGTTGTTTTTTTCTTTTTCTTTTGTTTTATTATTGTGTCAATGAATTAATTAACTGAGGAAAATAAGCTTTAAGTGGATGTGCCCAAACAAGCTTTGGGTGAATGTAAGATGACAAGCGACTCTATGCAAATCACAACAGAACTGAATGTGAATTTGTTGTACTGTACCTTGACTTAACTGTGACAGCTCTGTATGCAATACAATAGCAGGGGATGTCGTGGATCAGGGAGTTTTAATGATGGCCCTCATATGGATAAGAAGCTGAAAGCTATACAATCCAATGGCACACGTTGTTGCTCTACATGTAAGTCGTATTAGACTTAGAGCTTATTTTGAGAGAAGTGCATGTTATGTTATATGGCAAAAGCCCAAAGAGTACACTTTAATGTAATGCATCTTTTTTAAAATTGCGTTTTTCTATTTCTTTTCCTTATAAGGATGTAGGGTGAATGGGGAACATCCAAAGGGGAGCACGGAGCTGACTGGAGCCCCTGTACTCGATCGGACCTCAGAAAACCTAAAGACTCAGAAAGTCATACTCAACCGCTGCTCTCAGTAGAAAAATACAGCTGTGATACTCTTGCTCGCCCTCAAATGATGTCCCCATTTCAACCTCTAATTCATGCATACCAACTCTTGATCTCTTTACTATAGAAAAATAAAGTTTTGGATATAAATCTGTCTCGTGCTGTTGGAAGTGATGCATCACTAAAGTAGATCTTTGACCTCACTGCCTCCTATTGGGCAGAGGGAAGAAGAACAATGAAAACTCACAATTTCTTACCCTAAAAAAAAAAATCAAAGATTTGAAGATGCAGCAGTGGCGTATAAACACATGAACAGGGATGTGGATAAGAAATTCTCAGTGCATTGTGGGAAGTCCGCCAACAGCCCAAACCTATAGCAGCATAACTGAGGGATGGTCCAGGATCATCTGATGAAGTAGTAACTATACATTTCATCAAAGAGGACAGCTTTAAACCTAATCTTAAAAGGAGGGCGAGTCTGCCTGTTTCACAGGAGGGCTCTGCCTCTCATTCTACTATTAGAAACTCTAGGAACCACAGGTAAGCCAGCAGCCTGTGACCAAAGTGCTCCACTGGGATAATATGACAGCAAAAGACATGATTGGGCCTGATTATTTAAGACTTAGACGGATTTTAAATTCAGTTCTGGATTTAACAGAGAGCCAATGAAGAGAAGCCAAAATGGGAGAAATATGCTCCCATTTTCTAGTACCTGTCAGTACTCTCAATGCAGTGATCTGGATCAAGTGAAGGTTTATCAGGGGTCTTTTAGAAAAACCAAGGTAAAGCTATTCAGAGTAAGCATTTAGTTAAACACTGTGTTTCTGACATTTAAAGTGCCACCTATAATAACTTTAATAAGTGGAAGCAACAATATGTTTATATCCTTAAATTATCTTTTAATTTCTGCTTTAAGGGAACCTTTTTACATTCTGTGATTTTGATAGCTTTCTAGTCACAAAATGAGCTCATAGCCTGTGGAACACCATTAAATCTACATAATGGTTGCATAAAACTGGATTAAGTTTTAAAAATTGTATCACATTGAATTATGGGAAGTGTAATATCTGGAGGTTTGTGGTTTAAAGGGTACAAACATTTTTTTAATTTTCTCTCCAGACATTTTAAAGTTAAAAGTCAGATGGCAGAAATTTTAAATAATAAGATGAACATACATGACCTGATCCCTCAGAGCACTCAGGCTTCAGATGGTTCTATTTTTTGGTAACAGCAGAATAACATTTTAAAAGCTTTGTTGTATTCTGTGTATTCTATATTACTAATCTACACCTATTTATTGTGCACAAGTATAGTGGTTTTTAAATCAAACGATCAGTGGTTTTGCCAAAACAATATGTACTGATTGTTTAGGAATAACAGCCATCCCTATACACACAGTTTGTACAAAGTCTCCTGCTTTCAGAGGCTCAAAAGTAACTTAGCTTACTTAGTAAGTTAGCTGAGGCTTGGTCCTTCTGTCAAATTATATAATTAAAAGTATGAACTTGATTCCAAGGAACTTTTAATACCAGATCCAAAGATGTGCATATGTAAGTGAAGGAGGCCGAGAAGTTGCCAAAATAGTAAATCACTGTGAGGAGATTTGCTCAAATGAGCCGTTTACATGTCTGATATTAGTTCCACCAGCAGATGTCAGTAGTGACCTGCATGTGGAATTAAATGTTCAAACCTCGGGTAAGATCAGAGCACAGCAGCCTCTGCAGACTCAGGGAGGGGTGGAGAGGATACCGGCTGACAGACTTCTCTCCAAGTTAAAACAGGTTCGACATAGACTGTTTTAATGACCCCTTTAGTGTCAAACACGCATAGATGCACTTGTGCCACTTCTATCATAGGCTGTTTCCTGTTTTGGATGCTACTGCAACTTTTTTGAATGTGGAAACTGTTATTAACATTTAGGAGATGATTTATTATTATTATTATTATTATTATTATTATTATTATTATTATAAAAACAACATTTGGTCGGGTAGTTTCACTACAAGCACTTTTAATCAACTGTTTGCCGCAACAACAAAAGAGCAATAAAAAAAACTCTTAATTCCAAAGACCTCCAAGTTGTAACTCGGAATTAAAGTATCGTCACATCACATCATCTGATTCACTTCATAGTGAAGGGCAAGTCTTAATGTTTACCTTAAAAACCCAGAATCAAAAACGAAAAAAAAACCTTGATAATAGATTTTTTTTATTATTATTATTATTTTGTAATATGCAAAGTAAATTTGTCACTCAGTCACATTTTACACCGAATTTTGCTGAATTCGATTAATTTTCTATTGGGTTTTTTCATAAGTGTAGATCGTCGGTCTTTCTGTTGGCTTCTTGAATGCACACTGATGTGTAGCTCCAAGCAGAGGATCACTTTTCAGATTCACCGCCAGAATCCACAGTGACTTTAAATATTCCATGAACTGGGAGTGTCCTGCAACTTGCCTCTCTCCATTCGTTTCTGTGAACAGTGGAACTTCACATCGCGACACGGAGCGGAGCGAAAGGGGCGAAGCAGCGATGTAGGAACTTAATCACAATCCGTGAGGGCTTCGCTCAAACCTTTTATCCTTCGTTTCATTTACCTGCGGCGCAGTCTAAAGTGTCATGCCCCACACCTTGCTACTACCTCCTCCTTTCTTTCAGTCTGCAGTGCATTTCTGTGCGCAAATGTCTACGCATATGCACGGTTCTGAAAGACAAAGAAAAAGAAATCAGTTGTGGCTTACTGACATCTGCAGCGTCTCGGCCCTGTGATTAAAGCCTAAACTGAAAGGAAAGCATAGTGATAGATTTTTACTCTCTAGGCGGCTTTTGTAGCTCCACATTGCGCAAAGAAAAGGCGATCACCAGGGGCGCACAGGTGGGTGCGCTCTCCAAAGGTGCCAACAGATCTGTGTGCGCAGCTCCACCGCTCAAACAGTGTGACAATTTGGGCACAACTGGTCCATAAAACACACTGTTCGCCTAAAACTAACCATCGGCTTAGCTGCAATCCATCGTTCCGCTGTGTTTGATCAGTATAGGGAGGATGGATTTGTATGCACTGTAGTCTTGGGAGGAGAGGAGGGACATGGGCGGGGCTGAGGCGCCTCTCGTTTCCCCTCCATGCTTAGCGGGGCAGCAGGGCTGGAGAGACCTCCGGGGAGCACAGTCGCCAGTCCAGCACGGAGACCCGCCTGGCCAAAAAAACGCGCCTCACACTTGCCAGGATTGCCAAATATTCCTGAAATATATACCTGCTATTTATGGCATGTGGCTTGTAACTTTACTCCTGCTGTACTCTCTCCAAGAAGGTAAGAGAAAAAAAGAAATGCTTGGGATATTTCACACCATTCATACTGAATGCTGGAGTTCTTCCTTCTTTCTATTTATATTTTTAAGTTGGATGAAATGTACTGAGGAGGATTACGATGCATGTGATGGTTTGGATGATTTGTGGCTTTTGCTTTTTGGTGCATCATCGAGTATTTTGTAATGAGTAATTTGTTGAAAAAACAAAAGATCATTTAAATTTAAAAAAAATGCATAAAGCCTCCGCGTTGAGTAAGTAGAAAATGTGTGAAAGTAAAGGTGTGAAGTGCTTTTTTTTCACCTGGATGTGTAGTGGTTTTATGCAGCGGACCCTGATCTCGCAGATGGTGCTGATAGCACGGATTGTTTTCGCATTACCAACTCCAGTTATGAATATGTAAAATGGCTGAATAGGGAGAATGAGGTGCAAATATAGAGGGAGGGTTGAGACAGAAATGAAAACATGGAGCGGCCTGCAATTACATAAATTGATTGGCAATTTTCGAACACATTCCCCTCAAAATGTTGCCCTCTTGTAAAGTTTTTTTTTTTTTTTGAAAGGGGTTGGATGCGCGTGATTTTTGAAATCTTGACGCTTTCATTGTGTAGCATTTGCTAATTGCAGCTGTTTTTGATGGGCTGTATTTGACTGCGGGCGCTCGCTTCCACAGAGATGCTCTCTCTTTTTTTTTCTTTTTTTTTCAGGACGAGATTTTAAAGGGTATTAATTGATTTTCCTGTGTGATGACAAATTGTTCCCATTTTAAAATGGATGACAAATAAAAGGCCCATTCTCCTAGAATGGCCTTATTAGTTTAATAGGTCTCCACCCACATAAAGGCCATAATTAAGTGTATTCAGATTATGTTCCCCCTTATTTAATTTATTTGGTCCTTTTGAAAATTCCCCCTTTTTAATTCTGTCTGAAAATGTAAAAAGAAAAAAAAAACCGGAGTTGCATTTGTTTAAATAGATTCTGGGTTTTTTTCCTTTCTTCTTCAGTATATGCAGCAAATCCCTGACCCTATTGCAAAGTTGATCTTCTGCTATTGCAGTGCATTATAATAATCCCGAACAAATCTGAGTCCAAAATACCAAAATTCAACACCATCTCTAGATGAGAGCATTTTATAGGCCTTTGTGTAGCCTATCTATTTAGAGACTTGTTTAAACATTGTTTTTCCTTATTAGCAGTGGCCCTGAGAAGCTGTAAATTTATTTAGCAGAAAGTCCGGGATACGGTGGATTGACAGGAAGAAGGAATATGGCCGTTCTCGGTGCAAACGATCTCAAGTAGGCCATTAGGTCCATTTGCCATTTTTAAGTTGTGATATTTTCTGTCTTTCTATTTTTTTTTTAAATTAACTAATGAATTTATTGAGTTTTTTTTAGTTATCCAATAATATGACTTAGCTATATGCGCTACATGATTTTTATTCAGATTTAATTTTGATTATTCATACAAATAAATTATTCAGTTTGAAAGCTGTCACTTCATTGCCTCGCTGGCTTCTGTGGAATCGTATTAATATATGCGCAAATTTATTTCACCAAATGAGAAACTCCAGGGGCGTGGGTGCAGATTATAGACTTGCCTGGTCATGTTCCTCGCTAATAGCGCACCTGGACCCCGCGGTAGTGTTCGCGCGTGTGCCAGCGCGTGCGCCCCGGGTTCTTGTTTGTGTGTTTGTGTTGGCGGGCGCGTGGAGGAGGGCAAGTGACTGGGACGTCCCTCTTGGTTTGGTTGTTAGCTTGTGTTTTGAATTTTCCTGAAACTCGAAGTTATTTTACTTATTTGTTTTAAATATAAGGTTCTTTACGACACAATTTATACACGAATAATGTTTTTAAAGGGTACTAAATCATGTCGGAGGGTTTAGGAGACAGGCAGGACGTAGGGTAAGTAATAAATGTTCAAAGAAACGCACATGCATACTTTACAATTAGCATTATTTACAATTAAACGAGGATTTATTTATAGCGCTAACTGGTGGTTTTAAAGTGAAATTAGGTATTTTCATTTTGCTGCTAATGAATTATAGCCATTCAGTGTAACTGTGGATTAATTAGCAGGTTATAAAATCAAGTTTCATGTGTAAGGCCTGCTGTAGGCCTGTTTTGAATTTTAATATGAAATCTAATTAATTAAAATGGCAAATTTTATGTATAGCATGTGAATGATATATCCCAAATTTTAATTGGAGGTTCGTAAAGCGCTAAGGTGAACCTGCTCCCTGCGCTCTCCGTTGCTCATCCCCCTTGCCAATAGAAATGTGAAAAAATCCCCCCTTTTCCCTTCCCAGCCCAATTCCCTGTGCTTCTTTGCAGGGCTACACAATTAAAGCTGCAATCTGAGCTTTATGCACCACTCAATGACAGAGATGCGTGGTCCACAGGGGTGCCAATCATCACTCAGGAAGGACCCAGGCCTCCATTTTATTTGCCCTTTTTTAACCAGATCAAGCCTGGCATCATTTAATTTCACATTTAAGAATGTAAAATTAAAACTTAAAGAGGTTAAAGGAAAAGTGAAGAGCTTTCCGAGTGACTTTGCCCTTTTGAACAGTAAAAATACCCAAATTCTGACTTACTTATTTCAAACTGAAATGTTTCACAGCTGAAATATGAATATAGACATTTCTAGGAAAAATATATTTAAAAAAATGAAAATACAAGAGTTTAATGATAACTGATCAGACTTTATTTAGCAACACAAAGCCCACGTATCATTGACGATTTAACAAAGAAAACATTTCTGCAGAAATTCGTTGCCAAATGGTGGGGAAACTGCTGGTGTTCGGCAACAAAAAAAAAAAGGGGGTTATTGCACTTCCCAGCTCACCAATAGGACGTCACAGCTCTGTCACTGTCATCCTGCTCTCCCATTCGCCCTGAAATCTATTATACATGCAAATGAGTTTATAAATAAGAAGTCATCAATGAAAACAAGAGAAAAAGGGTGCAAACAAATATCAATTACAGTAAGAAATTTGTTTATTTTTTTTATTTTTTGTTCCCAACAAGAACTCTGTAACAGCACCAAACACAGTGCCAAACAGATCCAGACCTCCTCCAAATTTTATTGGATGCCGGCGCTGCACATTTTTAGAAGGAGGGAGTGTTCAGCAAATGTCAAATCTCTGAAGCAAGTAGTTGTTTTTGTTGGATCTCCCTCTCTCTACCTCCATCTCTCTCACTCTCTCTCTCCGTCTCTCCCTCCCTCAATCGCTTCCTCTCGCAGTAACTCCCCTCCCTCTCTTCTCCCTCATCACTAGGCAGAATTAAAGGTTGGGGGAGGGGCAGTTTATGCAGACTGTGCTGGGACTTGTGATCCACAGATTTGATATTCACATTAAGAGAGAAACTGGCTGCTTTGATGTGAGGGGGAGCAGGTCCCAGGGGACTGCTGAAGTAGCACACTTTTTTTTTACTGACACAGCACACTCGGGGGTGGTTGGTGGTGGGGGTGGGTGCAGTGGGGAGCATATTGTTGGGGACAGGGTGTACAGAAAGACAGTGGGTGGGGAACAGCGATACCCCTTCGTTGATTAGATGTAACCTCAACAACCCCCCCCCC